ATACCTGCTATCATTTATCTATTAAACTTCAATGAAGAAAAGTATTTTCATCCAAATGTTTTATTCACTCAATTCATTAAGATGGATAATGGTATAAAAAAATTATCAGAGTTAAGAATCATGTGGAAATATCATAATGATGATGACGGAGATGACAACATGTATGTAGGTGTATTACTATTTGATACTGTCAAAATATTCAACTTATGAATCATAGAGATAATTATCAAAAGTTATCAGAATAAAAGATGAAAACTTTCAGTGAAATGTAAAATCATAGTTTCATTGAAACAACAAAAAAAATACAAGATTGAAGTGGATGTCTGTTGGTCTCGAAGTTGGTAGTCTAGGGTGTCCTTCATTCTGTTTAACAACATCCTGTTGAAGACTGTCCCTGATATTGAGAGAAGATTGATACTTCTGTAATTCTCACACTTGCTGAAATCTCCTTTCTTTGGTATCATGATCAGGTGTCCTTCTTTCCAGTCTGTTGATACATGTTATTCATCTCAAATCATACTGAAGAGAATGTGGAGTATCTTTGTAGGTACTGTTACATCTGCTTTCAGTGCCTATGTCGGAATGTTGTCTAGTCCCGCTGCTTTGCCGCTCTTGATTTGTCTGATGGCCATGCTGATCTCTTCAATTGTTGGTGGGCTAACATCGATTGGGAGGTCCGTGGGTGCTACTTCGATGTAGGGTGGGTTCAATGGGGTTGATCGTTTTAAGAGTTCCTTAAATTGAGTGGAGAAAAATATTTTCATCCAAATGTTTTGTTCACTCAATTCATTAAGATGGATAATGGTATAAAAAAATTATCAGAGTTAAGAATCATGTGGAAATGTCATAATCATGATGATGATTATGATGATGACGGAGATGACAATATGTATGTAGGTGTATTACTATTTGATATTGTCAAAATATTAAACTTATGAATCATATAGAGAAGTATCAGAAGTTATCAGAATAAATGATAAGAACTTTTAATGAAATGTAAAATCATAGTTTCATTGAAACAACAACAAAAAAACAAAACAAAATCAAAATGGTAACCAATCCTTTAAATAGTAATCTTCATAATAATTCGACCTATCAAAATTGATTCATTAATATAGTGAAATGATGGTGGATAAAGATCTCTTTAGCTGAGAGTAAAAAGGAGATAATAATGAACGTTAACAATTATTATAAAGAGGTGGGACAAAAGTAATTGACAATCAATAAAACATGGCATCCGTCTATGAAGTCATTGACTATTGAAATGGCTTCATGTAGGTAGGTTGGGATCAGCTTGGTTGTTGTAACTAATAAGTGGTGATGTTGGATGACATTGTTCAAAATGTATCCTAATGGAGCAAAATACATACACTCTGTCTTCTTTTAGATCTTCAGTCTCAAAATTAACGTTTTGATTCCTATTTTGCCAATTCATTCTTTCTTGTCAGGTCATATTGTGTATACCTAGTCTCTTCCACTACAAATAATACTGTTACTACTTCTACAAAACTGGTTTTTGTCTTGATAACTTGATCTGATTGTGGTGTGACGATTTGAATTGATGTACATAAGTGCCAGATTGTTTATTGCTTATGACTGACAAGAAACAAAGTCGTTTTCAAATAAATACATTTTTAAGGCTCTCCTATCACACACGCGAAAACAAATGCAGGAGAAGACGACCAGTGTGGCAATAGCCTCAGCTGCAGTAGGTCTCAATATGAACAAAGGTAAAAGCAAGACTCTCCGATACAACACAGCATGCACCGATCGAATTACACTTGACGGAAAAGCTTTGGAGGATGTGAAAAACTTTACACATCTGGGCAGCATCATTGATGAACACGGTGGATCTGATACAGATGTAAAGACGCGGATAGGCAAAGCAAGAGCAGCATATTCACAACTGAAGAATATCTGGAACTCAAAACAACTGTCTGTCAACCAACACCAAGATCAGAATTTTCAATACAAATGTCAAGGCAGTTCTACTGTATGGGGCGGAAACTTGGAGAACCACGAAAGCCATCATCCAGAAGATACAGGTGTTTATTAACAGTTGTCTACGTAAGATACTTCGGATCCGATGGCCAGACACTATCAGCAGCAACCTACTGTGGGAGACAACAAACCAGATTCCATCCAGTGGAGGAAGAAATCAGGGAGGAGCGCTGAAAGTGGATAGGTTACACATTGAGCAAATCACCAAACTGCGTCACAAGACAAACCCTGACATGGAATCCTGAAGGTCAAAGGGGAAGAGGAAGATCAATGAACACATTACGCCGAGAAATGGAGACCGGCATGAGAAGAATGAACAAAAACTTGTTAGGACTAGAAAGGAAAGCTCAGGAAAGAGTGGGTTGGAGAAAGCTGATCTGTGACCTATACTCTATTGGGAGTAACATGCGTGAGTAAGTACAAAGTAGTGTTTAAAACACTATAATGTATAATGACTATTAACGGTTTTAACAACTTAGTAAGTAATAATGAGCTCAACTAACATCTAACATCTCTTTATTCATATTAAAATAATCATGCTTTGTTATATTTCATAGAAGCGAATATATATAGCAACTATATATTGATTTTGTTACACCATAAATTGAGTTTACATTTTGTACCGATAAATTTGTATTAATTAAATGCAAATCGATGAATTTCGATCATAAGTAGTATGTTTAACCATTTTCATGATTTTGAGTTTTCTGATCTGAATAGTTTAATTAACAAGCTTAATTTTTCCTTCTAGAAAATATCCATTAACACCTATGTTGCAATGAAGTCAACTAATCTAATGAACACAGGGCTATCAAATGATTCATCTAACTGAGCTACAACAAAACACTTCACAAGATCTAACAATTGTAGTGTTTTCAGATAGGTTTCAATACCACTACCTTCCAGATGCTTTTTGATTAGACACAAAGAAGTTATCATAAGTGTATTTGGTTTTTCCAGATCGAAATATCAATTAACAGACAATCTAATCGGTATTTCATAAGTTCAAACATTTAGATTAATATCATATAATGAAAATTATTTATTTATTTAAACACATAAATATTGGTACAAAAGGGGCACCAGATACATATGCGCCTCACAAATCTCATTGGATTTGTGTGAGGGACGTGATACTTACTGCCAAGATGCCCAAACTGAAGCAGAAGGTTTCTTTAGGGGACCACACACGAAGCCTTTGACCTTAAGGTCTGATCCACAAGGCAGTGGAGCATCGTGAGGAGATGCATTCTCATGGTAGTCGGTGACCAACGATTGATTCATACGCCATTTCTTCCTTCAGGATACTGGAGTCCATGTGCACCATTGGTTTGGAATCAGGGTTTTCCAACTTCCCTAGGTGGACCGTCCGTGTCCACCGAACCGGTTAAAGAGCCGAACATATTCTCATTATCATTGGTATGATGAAAATAAAAACTATATAATCCAGCTAGCTTTTTTGTTAGAATACATATTTTGAAATCCCCTTCTAAATAATCCAACACAATATACTATTACTGTATATAACAGAAAACCACCCTAGATAGTTGATTAAACCTTAGATCTTCTTATCATCAATTAGTGAATAGCTGATTAAACAGGAGCTCCGCAGTTGCTATAATGAGGTAAATATTGAGCATGGATGAACGTTTGAAATCATTCTACCGGAAATTTTTTCACATTTTTATTGTTTGTTTACTAAATAGTTCGATTATTGAATTTTTTCATTCTTCTACTATTTGTCAGTTTTTGTTTGATACAAATTATTATTATGTTTCACTGTTCTCAAGTTATTCCCAATTATGGGTGGAACTATATATCTTTCAATTATGCATGTTGTTATGAATATATGGTAGTTTTTATTTATGTTGTATATGGTCAAGAGTTTGCTATGTATTATTGTGAGTTGAGTTATAGAATTGATCTGTACAAATAGAAGCTATCTACTTGCTGTGTTAGTGTTCTACTCTGGCTACCCGATAAGAAAATATGAAAGAACTGTATTCTGGATCAAAAGGCGTTAAGAATTGATCTCAACTTTTGTTTCACTGTTATTTAGTAATTAGCTGATCGAAGATCATTAGTTCTATATAGGCCTAATCTGGATAGAATAATCAGTACTCGGACTAGATCGCACCACTGCTCTTATGATTACGGCTAGTTTACGATAATACATAATCACTCATTACCAGCGTTACAGGTGAATAGTAAACTTTCAAGCTTCTTATCCTTAAAATGACTTATTAAACATTGGGTTCACCTGTTTTGAAGATTCACAGTAATTATAAATCCCACATAACAACGACTTTCATTCTCTCTTACTCTTACTAATCCTGTAAACAAATTGTACACGCATCTAAAATATGGTATGCATAGATTTACTCTAATATTCAGAATAACAAGAGAAGAAAATCAACTAATATTCATTAACAATAAATCAATTCACCTAAGTAAACAAATAAGTACTTATACAAAACTATATACAATAAGGTCAGTAATGATTGTTGAGTAAAAATAAATGCAAACAACAAAACGAATAAATTGACTAACGTTTTCAACTATGAAAATACTAAATCTCCACTAAACCCCTTCTGATAATGATAATAATAATCATATACTCACTAATGACTAACTTCGAGAGGTAAATCCAAGAGTTCTAGTGAGAAGCAGTGACCAGTGGAGTTGAAGCCACGTCTGTTGTGAGATGTCAACTGACTGAAGACAATTGCTGAACGGTTGCTCAATTTCGAGGATCAGTTGAAGTTAAACATAAACACCGTTGGATGCCGACTCAGTGGTCTAGTGGTTAAGTGCTCTGGCGTGAGACTGGTGGTTCCTGGGTTCGAATCTCGCGAGGCGAGGTCGTGGATGCGCACTGCTGAAGAGTCCCGCAATAGGACGAGTTGGCCGTCCAGTGATTCCGTTTTCGATGGTGGTCTAGCTTCAATTGACTCACGCTTTCAACTATGAAAATACTAAATCTCCACAAAACCCCTTCTGAAAATATGTCAAAAATTTATTTATAACATACAATAGTTGTATTTTAAGACTCAAAATAACAGTTATGATTACTACTACTCTTCTTCTTAAATAAAAAAAGTGTTTTGTATCAAAATCTCCTGTTTTGCACTTCTTTTTTTATAATGAAAACTTAATATGTAAAAAAATTGCACATATATCAACTACTAATGATTGAGATGAGTAGTAGCTGTAATTCGTTCATATTGTCTCATAAAACAGTTACCTCCGGGAAGGAGAAAGAGAGAGAGGACAGTGTCTATGAATAATGACAACAGTATCTACATGTTAAATGCTTTTTGAAATTAGATCAAAGTGAAGACATTTCAGATTTGCATTCATCGTAGAAGATAATAATAGTGATAACAAAATAAACAATCAAATTATCTGATCAATTCATCTTTACATTCTCCAATATGTATAATCTGAATAATTTGTAGCATATAGAAGTCGATCATTCATTTGTGGAAAGTATACATCAACCATTTGTAATAATGAATCTAAATTAAGTTTAGCTAATACACTATTAGTGTATACTGTTGTAGTAGTTAATCCTGTAGTAATAGTATCATTAGTATTCGTAGTAGTAGTAGTAATATTAGTAGTAGTAGTAGTAGTAGTATTAACAAAACTATCAGATGTTGTTGATGATGTTTCTGAAGTAGTTGTAACACTAGAAGTAGATTTATTCTCATTGTTTAATTGTTTATTAGAACTGACATGAGCAGTATCATTCTTTTTCTTTAATTTCTTATCTTTTTCATTTACTCCTGGATCACCACATATTACATTGCCTAAATAATCAACTGTATATATTTGATGATCATTTAAACCGATTGCTTTATAAGTTGCTATATCTGTTGGTCGATTACCAAATCCAGCTATAAATGGTAAATTATCTTCTTCATTTTCATTTTGATGATTAAGATGATCTTCGATAAATAAATTGCATACTTCACGAAGACATTCAATTTTATATTCATCTGCTCGTTTTGCAATTACTTCTCTGAAAAAAAATTTAAAAAATAGTGTTTATAAATAGGGTATATCATACTTTATAGTTTTTTCTGGTTAACGTGTTTTTTAGTGAGTTGGTTTTCTACGGGATGGGGTCGCTAACCACATGTCAAACCCTCCTCCTTTACCCGGGCTTGGGACCGACAGTAGCCTCGGAGGAGCTACAGGCGGATACAGGCAAGATACTTCGGATCCGATGGCCAGACACTATCAGCAACAAGTTACTGTGGGAGACAACAAACCAGATTTCATTCAGTGGAGAAAGAAATCAGAAAGAAGCGATGGAAGTGGATTGGGCACACCTTGAGGAAATCACCCAATTGTGTCACAAGGCAAGCCCTCACATGGAATCCTGAAGGCCAAACGAAATGAAGACGACCAAAGAACACATTACGCCGAGAAATAGAGACAGACATGAGAAGAATGAACAAAAAAATGGATAGAACTAGAAAAGAAGGCCGAGGACAGAGTGGGTTGCAGAATGCTGGTCGGCGGCCTATGCTCCATTGGGAGTAACAGGCATAAGGTGTGGATACCTTATATTGACTAATCGTATGTGATGTGTTAGCTTTTATTACTAAACTGAGACAGAGTACAGAAAAAGTTTGGAATTTTACTGATAACACCAACCTACCAGTCAGCCAGAAATAAAGAAATCAGAATAGGGAACATATGTGCATCTGTTCAAATTGTCACACCAAATATGGCACATTAAGATGAAATTATCAAGACAAATGCCAGAGTAGTAGAAGTAGTAACAGTATTGCTGTCAGTAGAAAAGGTTGGGTGTAGACAATATGATTTGAGAAGAAAGAATGAATTGGCGGAATGAAAAACAAGATTATAAATTTTAAGACTAAAGATCTACGAGAAGACAAAAAATGAATGTCACTGTGACAAACTGCAAACCATGCCACCCAACATAATCAAACATTGGTTACGATAATCGTGAGGACCTCAATTGGACAATCTGCACCTAACTGCATAGAATTAACTCAACAGTTGATGACTTCGTGGACTGTTCTCAAGTCTTGCTTTAAAAATTCATATACGTATATTTGAAAATACATACGAGAAATTAGAATACTTACTTGCGGAACGCTTCCAGAACAGAAAATGGTGATAAAAGTATTGGACCATCTGGTAGACGATAATTACCTTGTTGAATGGTATAAAGAAGTTTTCTTGTGGCTCTAGCTTGACCAATAGGACGAGAAGATAAATAAATAAATTTATATCCATTATTAGCTATTTTATTGTATAATTGAGCTATATGATGATGAGTCCAATCCATTCCGACTAATGGCATCAATTGTCCTAACCAATCTGATCTATAATTAATAAATAAAATATTTTATTAAAAAGTATTCTATATTACCATTATGAACAATATTTACTATCCTAAGGTATTCGTCCATATTTACGGAGAAAAAAACAACAATAAATGAATCTAATTAAGTATTGATTATAATCAGAAGGGGATTTGTAGAGATTTCAGTATTTTTCATAGTTAAAATCATGAGTCAACTGAAGCTAGACCACCATCGAAAATCTGGAAGAACCGGACACCATTAGATGCTGGCTGGATCAGCGGTCTATCGGTTAAGGGCCCCGGCGCGAGACAGGTAGGTCCTAGGTTCGAATCTCGCGAGGCGAGGTCGTGGATGCGCACTGCTGAGGAGTCCCACAATGGGACGAAACGGCCGTCCAGTGCTTCCAGATTTTCCATGGTGGTCTAGTTTCAATTGACTCATGATTTCAACTATGATAAGTATTGATTATGGATTAATAAATATTTAATTAATCATTATCATTATTTGTCATTTATACTTTGAAAGCTCTAGGATTATATAGTTGAGGTCATGAGTCAAATGAAGCTAGACTACTATGGAAAATCTGAAAATTGACCAACCGTCCACCATTGTCTTGGTTTTGAATATCGCGAGGCGGGATCATGGATGCGCACTGTTGAGGAGTCCGACAATAGGACGAGTTGGCTGTCCAGTGCTGCCAAGTTTTTCATGGTTGTCTAGCTTCAATTGATTCATGATCTCAACTGTATAAAATTATTAAAATCTCCACACAACCCCTTTCTGATAAAGATCTAGGATTAGTTAGTTTATTTCATTTCAAGACTAGTTACTGAAGATCAGATGATTCAATTCATGAGTGATTATCTTTTCTAACATAGTAATCAGTAGAAATAGAACAAAATTTTTTTGAAAATCACTTCTCTAACTTACTTTGTTATTGTTCCATCAATATCCGATATTACAATTTTATCAGACCAATCCCAAAGGTATATAAAACAAGCACATTGACAAGTACCTTGATATTTACTGACAACAGAAAAAACTGCTTCATTTGCACCTTCGTGTAAATTGAGGCTTTTCTACAAAAAGATATCGAGATAAGTCATCAAAAATTTTATATTCAATCAACTAATATTATGGTTTGCATGACAAACTGACCACAAACCTCATTAAGCTAATAATAATAATAATAATAATAATAATAATAATAATAATAATAATAATAATAATAGTAATGTGCCCGCTAGTGACTAATCTCAGCAAGTAATCCCTGGAGCTCTAACTAGAGGCTGTGACTAGTGGAGTTCAACTATATCGGACGTGAAATACACGATACACATGTTATACAACTTTCCAACTAAAAGTTCGAATTTCAGTAATTTTTGGGGGACTTTTAGTTACTATAGAAAACAGAGAACCACTACTGATAATTTACAAACCAACACACTAAATTTTACGATTCCTTTAAGTTTACATTATACCATCTTATCCAGAATTCTATCAGTCGAATGAATGGTTCAGAATCGGTCACAATGGCTGAGAGACATTCACTCTTTTCTGTCTATAGATCTTAAGTATCTAAACTATCTAGTACTTTTTATTTCACAAATTTATTCTTCCTCCCGAATCATATTGTCAAGGTAGGTGGTAGATGGTCACACATAACACATGTCCCAACCATCTTAATCTCAGGAGATTTACACTCCCACCAATCAATTTCCTACTTTTGTTTAGCAATGTTTGCTAAATCTCAGGATTCCGCATTTGGTTAATCCATAATACTCGAGAACTAGTTCAAAGGGAACTACAATCAATGGAGTAAGTCTAATTATAGACTTAAAATAACCAGAATGTCAAGTGAACTATGATAACTTTAACCAAAAATCTTTGAGATTACTTTTAAAACAAGGTCAAAACCGTAAATAAATTCTACGACAAATACTTTTTAATTTTAAACAAACACACTAGTAAAGAAAAATTGATATTTGTCAACTTACAAGCTGTTGAGATGTTAAACGATTTGCTTGTTGAATTGTAATCCTTGACTCAATATTACCAGTTGTTTTTTGATGATAAGCATTATTACTTTCATAATCATCCGAGAAGTATCCTGCCTCTTCAGGAGATGATGTCTGTGATGGATCTGGTGTTTTACTACGACATCTTACGTCGATTGCTGAAGAATGTAAAGGAATTTTAGCGGTAGGTGGAGCATTCAACAACCCAGTTTTAGGCAAATTGTAAGGACTGTTCAAACAGCATTCATTCCCCGTAGGAGATTACACAGAAAATGATAATAAAATTTAAAATGTGAGAATGGAGAATACGATTAACAAGTAACAGGATTTTTATGGTTAAATTCATGAGCTCAATGAAGCTAGAACACCATGGTAAACCTGAAAGCACTTGTCTTATTGTGGGACTCCTCAGCAGTGCGCATCCACGATCCCGCTTCGTGAGATTCGAACCCAAGACGATGGTGGACGATTGCTCGACTTCCTGTATTGGTTGAAGTTAGATATTCACACAGTTGGATGCCTGCTCAGAGGTCTAGAGGTTAGACGTTCTCGCGTGAGATTGGTAGGTCCTGAGCTCGAATCTCGCGAGGAGGGATCGTGGATGCGCACTGTTGAGGAGTCCTACAATAGAACGAAACGGTTTTCCAGTGCTTACATGTTTTCCATAATGGTCTAGCTTCAATTGACACATGATTTCAACTATGAGATTACTAAAATCTCCACGAAAACCCCTGCTGATAAGTAACAAGTTAAAAATAAACCAAACATAGATTTAAAAGTAACGACAATTTTCAGCCAAAGCTAACAATTGGACTGGATCATGTTAGAAGATGTAGACTACCTGGTCGGAGTAACCATTAGATATTGACTTTGAATTACATAACTCAAAATCATTTGCAATGGTGAAGGTGAATACATTCTTTGTACTTCTGTAAACTTTAGGCTTCTGAAATACTCATGATTTTTTTTCACGACAAAGTCCACTAAAGATTAGAGTAAACCATTTTCTATCTTAAACTGTAAATACTGTTTACTATCGAATTTATCAAGACGAAATAGAACAAACTTTATCTTGACATATTTGCATATCGAGAGACGGATGATAGCTAGCAGAAGAGAGCAGGAAGCGCGTTTCGTCCTATTTGGAACTTGTCAGCTGCATGTACCTAAATCACATAGTTGATGTTCATCCCGAGACTCAAACACAGTATTCGTTGTCTCAAACGCCTTTACATCATTCACTATGCTACCGACTCTTCTGCTACCTACCATCCTCCTGTGTTTACAACGTTTGTGACTTAGGGCAATATCAAAGCGATCCGCACATGATGCACATATGCCAATAGGAAACTGATCAGTTTAAGTCCTAAGCGTCAATAGAAAGATCCAAATAACTAATACAAATGAAGGTTTGTATAACATACCAACTGATCTATATACAATTTACTTCTTATTCACTTAACTACCAGCTAATAAAGTATAGAATTCTAGAAATAAATTGTTTTTGACTAGTGCTCACCGTTCATAATTCTCTTGATCAAATTCTTCTTGCATTAAAACTGGACTAGATATAACAAGATCAATTGGAGCTAGCATTGATTGTACAGAAGAATGTTGATGTAATGAATCTTGATAAGTTAAATCCTGTGAACCAGAATCTGAGCTAATAACACTTGGATTAGTTTGTCTTCGTCTTCTCCACCATAACCAACTACTGGTACTAGTGTTCATTGTATTCGATTGATTAGTTTGTATTTCTGGCTCACAATCATCAGTTGTTTCATTAAATGATGAACTCATCAATGGGAATTCTGAGCCACGATCACGTTTATGTTGTTCAAGTATAATATTATATGCTGGATGTAAAGTATCCTTTTCTAAATGAATATCTCTTTCAGTCTATGAACAATAATAATGTATTGAGATGTGAAGTGGTGTATGAAAATAATAAAAATAAAAAAGATGAAATTGAATTATTCTAAGATTAGTAGTTAGTAAGTAAAATCAGTTAACTAGAGATTGTCTACACCAAATGATTGATGTACATTTCTTAAAAAACACACTTTTGAATGCACCTAGAACGTGTGCAGTTACAGGTATGAGGGCTAATATCACTTCCCGGCTGCCCACACCGTGGAAGGGTATTTCTTGAGGGATCTGAAAAGGAAGTTGGTTTAGTGTTGGTTTTAACGACCTGCGAGCGTGACCGCAGTGCCCAAGGGACGATTGCTCGAGGTCGGTCACACGACTTTTTTGTGAGTATTTTTGTGTTAGCTCCGTTCTTCAAAAAAACCTTACCACCGGAGACGGATATCCGTGAGATAATTCGAGGTGTGCATTTTTAGGGTCAACCTTTTCTAACCCCACCCCTCCTTGTGGGAAGGCAGTATCGATGTTATGCTGGTTGTCTGAAGGAAACACTTTAATACCGTCACACCTCTGTACAGTCGGCAGTACGACTTCGACTTCGGACCTTGGGATTTATGCTTTTAGTCTTACCGCTCTTCAACCGACCTGTCTGGCATGGTAGGACCTTGAGGAACGATTGTTCCAGCCAGTATAGCTCGATTGGTTCATCACGATAGGCAAGCTCAACACCACGTCAAGGTAGCAGCAAACAGTTGAATTTGATTGGAAAATGACAATCGTACCAATGTAAAAAGAGTTTACTAACTATCTAATTCTTGATAGATCCAGTGGGAGAAACGATATTTTGAAAATTTTGTTTACAGGGTTTGTGTTACCTTTTGACGATGATCAGAATGAATTTTGATTAGTTTTTATTAGACTACATGCATCTTGACTGGATGCTGGGTTTGATGCGGCTTTTTTGTTAGAAGTTTTAGCATATTTTGATTGAGGTTAGCAGTGATATTCGGAACCCATCAACTGGGTATATTTGAACCGAAATGTTAATGTTCAGACAAAGACTTAAATTCAGTACCTATCGCTGCAAACGGAATTGCATTATCCATTAAGCTACTAAGTTCAAACAGTCAACAACGTATATGTTTATGATTTCGAAAACGAGATAAAAAACATGGAATCATTTTACTTGGAGAAACAGATAAAAACTAAGGCAAAATTGCCACCAGCTCCTACTTCGAGCCATATATGATAATGTTTCAGGCCGGTGAGTTGCATGACCTATAGAGATGGTGATGAATGAATAGATGCTAGTCCTATGCATACTATGAAGCCATTTCTTAAGGTGATCAAATTGATGCTTTGGAGGGATTTCACTTATTTATTTATTAATTTAAACACATAAACATTGGTACACAGGAACATCGAAATATATATGCGCCAAATAAAGTAGTCAACATTCAATTTGCATGTACACTGGGATACCCTCCAGGTGCACAAGCAGAAACAGATAGTTTTCGTTAGGAGCCACCCTCAAGCGTCTGATCTAGAGGTATAATCTACGAGGCAGTGAACCAACGTTAAAAGATGCGGTCCCATGGTAGCCAGTGACCAACAGTAGGTTCATAAACTTTTTGTTCCTTTTGAATTATGGGGCCTATGTGTACCATCGGTTCGGAATCAGGAATTACCAACTCTCATAGGTGAATCCTCCGTAGTCACCAACCCAGTTGAAGTGCCGGGTATCCGTTTTTTGTCCTCTCGATTTCGCAAATAACAACCCCGCCGCAGTGAGTAGGACTTCCCTGGCAGTGGCTGTACATGCGTGGTCGTGTGAGACTACTGCAAGAGAGAGAGCGGACTGTCCCCACGCTCGGTCGTACAAGAACATTTGAGGACTTTTAAGCGATTGTCTCTGGTGAGTAATCGCCTCACATTTGACACGCATTATCTTCACTGGTCACGGCTTCTCATTAGAACTCTAGAAATTTCTTCTCGAAACTTGTCATTAGCGATGGTCGTCCAATATCATGGATTGATTGAAGTTGGACACTAACACCGTTTGATGCTTAGTGATCTAGAAGTTAGGAGTCCGCGCGCGAGACCGAAGGTCTTCAGTTCGATTCCCACATGAGTAATCGTGGATCCTCACTGCTGAGAAGTCCCATGCTGAGGCGAAACGCCCATCCAATGCTTCCAGTTTAAATTGGTGGTCTAACATAGATCAACAATCTCCACAACCGTTTACTGACAATTATTTCTTGAAACTGATGCTGTATGATGACAAAAAAGTTTATCTATTGAATGAATAATTGGTTTAGAGTGACAGGTAAGAAAGAGTTTGAACACTTTTGATGGTAGTACAAATATACATTCAAGCTCTATAATGAAAGTGTGTCATTTCTGCCTAAAATTTATTTGACACAGAAATTAGACAACACAAGATATCTTAATTTGGAGATGGATACCATAGTTAACGATGAATGTAATGTCATGTTTATCAAACAATATGCATGTAGACAGTATGTATGTAGAGAAAATTATTTATTATTTTTAGTAACCAGTTGGTTCAACAGGCTACTAGTCGAGTTTAGAAGCATCTTAAATCCATCGAAGTAAGAAATGTATATCATTGGATGATAAACTTAGGTGTTCTAACAAAACCAACTAATCCGTGTTTTCTGGTTTTCATCTGTATATCAACTAAAACTTGGAAAAAATTATCTTTACAAAACTCATTCAATAGTTCAATAATCGAATTCGTGAGTTGACTTAAGGTAGACCACAACCCCACCCCTTTCCATTCTGATAATAATCATAGTCAGAAGGAGTTTTGTGGAGATTTAGTATTTTCATATTTGAAAACGTGAGTCAACTGATGAGTCCCATAGTAGGACGAAACGGTTGTCCATTGCTTCCAGGTTTTCCATGATGGTCAAGTTTCAATTGACTGACACTTTCAACTATGAAAATAATCATAGTGTTACATAATAGTTTATTACAGTTAATCAATCGAATCCAATTTATAATTAATGAATTGATTTCATTTATAATTAGTTACCTGTGATATATTTTTTAATAATATCCTAGCAGCTGTTTCACCTGACATACACCTATCAGACCATACAATCCATATAGAATTGAATGATATTTTATCAGTTTCAAGTTTAAGAAAATCTTCAGGGTATAGCAATTCACAATTGATTGATGATTTTTTTCTAAAAAATTTAGGACGTGTTGATTGAATTTTTTGTGAATGATTTAATTGATTACATGGATTCATGTTTAACTGTGAAGTTTTGTTGTCAGGGTTATCTTTGTTCTCCTCATGGTTAACAGTAGTAGATTTATTTAAAAGACGATAAATATAGAATTCATTTGGCCAATGATATGTATCTTGGAGATATTGAATTAAATCTCTGTAATAAAAGTAAAGAAGTCAGTTTACTATGGTTTACCCATACCAGTTTGATAGATTGCAAAAAGCACTATCTGAATAAAGATCCTCGTTTTCAACTTATATTCGATCATACTAAGTAGGTTGATTGGAGAGCGGTAAAACTATAAGCAGTAAACTCGTGGTTCAGAGGGTATATTATTAGTAGGTGTTTCCTTTAGACAACCAATGTTAACAGCAATGGTTATTTTTTTATTTATTTAAACACATAAATATTGGTACAAATGGGCACCGGATATATATGCGCCTAAAGAATTTCATTTGATGTGTTTGAGAAACGTGATACTGCTCAGGTGCTAAAACTGAAGCAGGTGGTTTTCTTAGGGGGCCACACATCGAGCCTTCGACCTAAAGGTTTGATCCATAAGGCAGTGGAGCATCGTGAGGAGAAGTAGTTCCATGATAGCCAGTAACCGACGATTGGTTCATACGCCATTTGTTCCCTCAGGATCCTGGAGCCCATGTGCACCATTGGTTTGGAATCGGGGTTTTCCAACTCCACTAGGTGAACTTTCCGTGTCCACCACCAACCGGGTTAAAGCGCCGGACATTCACTTTTCGTCGTCTCAATTTCGTAAACAACACCCGTGGTACGAGAAGGCAGTGAGTAGGACTTCCCTGGTAGAGGCTGTATACGCGTGGCCATGTGAGAGCGTTTGGAGAGGGAGAGCGGACTCTCCCCACTCTCGGATATACCAGGGCATTTGGGGGCAACAGTAATGGTGTCTTCTCATGACGAAAGAAGGAGCTTAGAAAAGATCAGCCTAAAGAATAGTTTATCTTATCCTGTTTCATAGTTTTTCATCGTGGGAGAAAAGGACTGTTACATAAAGAGCTAATACACTAAAAACTATTAGCAGAAAAGCTGTGTGACTGACCACTAGTAAATGTCCTTCAGGCCTTGAATTCACATTCTCAGGTTTTCAAGACTACCCTTAGTCTAGGTACCTTGTCGCGAAAAATCATCTAATATTTGGCGACCGATAAGTAACAACTCTCCTTATACGTCTAACAATTTTCTAAACTAATCAAAGAACTGGTTAATTCTGATAAACTTTGCTCTCTATTACTTTAATAATCACTCAAAACCGTGGAAAGAATTTATTTCAATTCATTGAAAGACTCTTAACGAGCGAATACAATTGTTTAAACACACATTAATATCACTACACTTTGGGATGTAGTTTGATTTTGTCAACACAATCAATTCCTAACAAATTAGTACAACAGTGAGAAAGTGACTGACTAGTTGATTAGTCCTCTTCTCATCAACAATTGTTCTTAAACATATTAAAGATGACCAGAATATTTAATTATTTGACCTATTGTAAATGGTCACATTGTAGTTTCACACAAAAGTTCGTCTTTTCCCTTTTTACAATTCTGTTGACCATCTTCGTAAAATTTATATTGCATCCAGATTATCCCTACTTTAAATCACTTTAATAAACTTGAAGTGAAATAGTTGATGAGTTACAAATGGAAAAGAAAGTAGCAGCATATTATGATCAATAATTTTAAACATTTCAAACTGGTGATGTCAGACAATCTATCTTTAGAGTCACGCAAAGAATACATTTATGAAACATAATATAAACTGGAAGCAGTAATGTAGCTCGTCATGCGTAGATTTGTATAGCATGTTTTGAGCTGAACGTTATGTTTTTGGGTTAGCAATACCATACGACATCCCAAGTTGAAGTGGACCGGGACTCGAACCTGCTACTAAGTGACTTAGAATTAAATGTTATAACCACTAGTCCTTCACATATCGTTTGAATACCAATTACCTGTTATAACCTTTTTACCATCTGGTTTAGTTTCAGAGGACGTAAATGTAGAGCATTTTGTTTAAGAACTAGCGGCGATGCTCAAAGTAATGTAGGAAGAGCGGATTGTGAATATGTAACGCAATGATTGAAAGCTAAATAGTTTACTTCTAAAACTTGTGGTATTAGTTACCTATAAACTTAACTGAGATCAATACAAAATACTGAACCTCTTAAGTGAACAAGAGATATTCATATGAATTCGATTTTATGTGACTTTACTTACCTTAAGGTGATCTTTTCTGTATTTTCTTTATCCACTTCTTCGATATTACTCGATATACTTCCTTTGTCAAGAGTTGGAATAAAGTCTGTGGATTCTGACTGGAATTCAGACGAGTTATTCATGGGTTTCGAGTTTTCACCGTTTGGAACTAAAAATTAATGAAGACGGTGGGTGATGTTAACGTTTTTCCCTTTGTTTATAGAATTGGATTATACGGTATTCTGTTTAAACTGACGATTTTTATGATAGAACTGTAGAATACGACATAAGAGTAGAGGACTATATCAAGTTACTACCATTCTTAACAGTGACTTAGAGAAATAAAATTACTGGAAGGAACAAACTACAAGACAAAACCAACCAACCAATTGCCTTCTCACTTAAAACTCTGCAATTACCTGCAGTCTTATTCGCATAAAGTTTTACTCAGTTTCGACAGTTCATAAGAGGTAGCTGTAGTCGGAGACCCATAACAGTTCAAGCTATTTGGATTAGATAGTTATGTGTAAATCTTGACAAACTAGTATATAGTGTAGTCAAGCCTTATTAGAATTTAAAGTGACTTAAGCTAATTAGGGATATGCCACTTATAAGTGACACAACCATTTATTCACATGAAGCTGGAAATGTGTTTCCAACCATTTGACCCGTTAATCTTAAATGATGTGTTGTCTAAGCCAGATCATTGGACAGCAACATGGATCAGACACATGAAAACTGTTTCTAGAGCTCCCTCTATTGCCAGTACACTTGAGAAAACGAATGATATCTCCAGTTGAATGCATAATGACTATGGGTGCCAGGATAGTGGAGATTATGTTAACCAGAATGATTGTTTTATAGTTTACAAGTGGATTAATGGATTTGTAAAACGTAGTTTGCAATGGAAGATTGCTTTTAAGGTTTGTGCTAAAAGGTAAACGGTGATAACGATGAAGAGGTAAGAACTGTGAGTCTAAAAAACGGTGATTTTAGAAGAAATAAACACGTATTAAAAGTTGCATTTTTTCGAGAGAGGGATTATGTAAGACAAACAATAAGAAAACTGGTAATCACTATTTATGTTTTTGGTACTTAAACAGTATATGTTGCTATCTGAGCATTAATTTTATCAGATCAATAGTTCGCACCTAACAGAATCTTTTTTTAAAGGCTATTTTTTGTATGAAAAAACCAGCAAGTAAGATACTATTATTTCCTATAGCCTTAAATGTCGTCTATAAACTATGTATTCAATGTGTTATGCTGACGTAAATCGATAGGCGTTAGTGTTTTCCTAGAATAAGAAAGAAAATACCATTTTCTGGATAAATAAATATTAAACTTGAAAACATTCCTTCTCATCATTTACCTTTTTACAAATTTTGTATCGTCAAGAATGGCTACAAGAATTAAATGATTTATAAGTTGATGAATTCAATCCAGCTGTTATCTTCAGTGGCTATGATATGAGGAACTGAATACTTTACGACTGTGAAACATGGCCATTAAGAGTAGAGGATACTCGTAAGTTACTAGTATTTGACCACAGATGCATTGAAAATATTTCTCGCATCTGCTGGGATCACCGGGTAAGTGAGAGTGAGGTTAGACACAGAGTATTAGGAAATGATGGTAAATCAGTTGATGAGGTCATGAATCTTCATCGACTGAGATGGTTAGGCCACGTGTTACGTATGCCTGAACACCGATTACCACGACGCCCAATGCTGACTAGTGTAGGGGATGGTTGGAAAAGAGTTAAGGGCGGCCAAACCAAAACGTGGCATCATTGCTTGAGGTCACTAACTTCTAGTCTGAGCCATGTTGGCAGATGCAGACTACCTGGTTGGGGTCCGCGTGACTATCGTAACCAATGGTTGGAGACTCTAGATGACATGACTCAGAATCGATCACAATGGCGTAGGTGTATACACTCTTTATCTTCCCTTAAACCTTAAGATTAAAATCTTCATAACGTTCTTCCTTCCTATACTACATCCTTATATACAACCTATCTTTTATATACTACCATCACTAAATTAACTATTTCTATGAATCCGGTGTTCATCTTGTTGTGCTAACGAGGTATGGCAGCTTGGACTGATGCATAAATGTGCCTGGTCCTACGTTGTAGCTGACTGACTGACAGTAACGTTCAAAACTGAATAACTTGTTGATACTATTACTTTATGAAATATTTTAAGGGTGAGTTGTAAAACAAACTACTTCATGAGAGAATGGATGAATAACTCTATGACAGTCTCCATAAATATCTTTATTTTATTAAGGTATATAATCAAATGAATTATAATTCACTTACTATCTTGAATATCGATTTCAAAAACATTTTCCAGTTGTTCAGTATTTGATTCATTTGTAACACAATCAATATGATCATTTTCATTTTGCGTCCAAGTTTGCAATTCCTCATTACTTCTAAGTAATGCTTCTGTTCTTTCTGTTTTAAGTTTACCTTCCTATTGGATAAATTAATGTTTATCAGTGAAAGATCTAACGTGGTATAGAGAACAAAGATATAAATCATGACTGTGAAACCTCAGTGATTCGATTCAAATTATCACTGGTTCTGTGTGTTTAACAGGCTTTAATAATCTAGATTTTCTTTCTAGTGCAGTCAGTCGCGATCAAAGTACAGACTAGCTCAAATATACACCAAGTTATTATACCACAACAGCGTGATGAGTTGAAATTCATACGATGACTACCAAAAGCATTTATATAACGTAAGGTGAATGATAATAAGAATGACTACGCATTGAGAATATGATTCGAAAGCATAGGATAAACAGGTATGTAAGGAGTCAGTAATGCTTTCTTTCCAACAAGTCCTTCAGTGCTGATCGAATTCTATTGACCAAGTTTTAGTGTGTTCATTATTCTAAGCAGCTCTACATAGAGGACACTATATAGTGTATGTCTCCTGTTGAGCATAAAATGACGTTGGTTTCAAGTTAGTCAACAGCTTGCATTGTGTTGGATGTATATTTTAAGTTGTCTCTTTTCTTAAAGTGTTTACTGTGCCTTAAAATCAATAAGTAAAAATAAGCCAAAAGTTAGTTGATCTCTTCTTTTTGAAAGTGAATGAGTCCATTCATCTCTTAGTATCTCTATTGAAGTATAAGAACAACCTTGTAAGAAATAGCCCAATATCAGTTGACCAAACTCAATTCACAGTTTCTAATGAAGTTAAGTTTGGATTAATTTACAAAATATTTAATTAGTACAACGATTTACGTATTGATTAAGTAAACCCAAATTATATTGTCACCAGTTTGTCGAGGACAAGTAAAAGCAAAAAAAAATAAGGATCGATTTGTCACCTTATAGTTGTCCGTCTTCATCCGTTTAAGTTATGGACGAATCAATCAAATTTAGAGTGACGAGCATTGATTTTTACGCGGAATTTATAGATCCATGTTGTTAAGTACTTTATAACCATTATGTCTGATATCAGTTAGTGATTAAAACCTTAACTCTAATTCTGAACCATGATTTTTAAATTTTAATCCTAATCCCTTACTTATAGCCCCCTTTCGATCCAAGTAAGACGCTAAAGTTTCTTAAGATCACTTCAGTATCCTAATTGCTCTACTATGAGTTTGCCTAATACTGACGAATACTAAAATTTCCACAGACAATGTTATCCATAAGTGGCATATGAAAAAATGTATGAATTGTCGATTGGATCAGCCTAATCTACTTAGCTTATCATCATTTGACTAGATGAGCATAAATATTACCAAAGGAATCATGAACAAGAATATATAAGTTTAAAACACACCTCATTATCGAAATAAGCATAACCTGTTGGTTCAACATGCATACATATATCTGGTCTTGGCTGTCCATTAATACATACATCAACCTACAAAGAACAAACATAAAAAAAACCGATTAAAGTAAAATACTCACTTCTTAATTTACTTAACGACAAATAAAAAGTCGTTAACAATGAAGAACAGAGTTTAAAACAAAAAAACAATAGGTTATTGTTATTAAGAAGGAGAGATAAAGAGTAAACGTGATAATCAGAAACACGTAGTAGGTTACATTTAAGTTTTGACACTATAGATTATGAAAAAAAGGTAACTGAAGTGTTATATCTACAGCTTTGATTCTTGCTATGCCACGTACTAATAGACTACTTGAACGATCGAACCCACAACGTCGCAAGAGAGAAGATAGAAGATTAGTAAGTAAGAATTTTATTTCCCAATACAGTGTTAAATATAGTACACAAATCTCATGTATTTATAGTTTTTTGATTGAAAGTAAATCAACATTTCGAGCAGTCAATAGGCAGATAGGGGATCCTTCTTATTCATCCAATAGGGAAGCTACACGTCGACATTCTAGAATGTTCCTCCAGTGGTGATTGGATGGAATGCATTTGGCCATTTCTGGGCTTCTTGAGGCTTTCTTGAGTTTGCCAATGAGCCATTCTTACATGAAGTAAGACATTTAATTTAATTTTTATTCACGCTAAAGATATCATTATCAATGAATATCAATGGGAAGATCCAAACAAACAATACTAAGTGAATTTAAATTTCACCTCATTGCACAAGCAAGTGACTATGAGGAGTCATTGGTCGAGTGGATAACGTGATGGTGTTTGAAGCGAACGGTACTGGGTTGCAGTGCCACAGTGAACATCAATTCCGAGATGCAGCTACATCCAGCTGACGAATTCTAAATAGGACGAAACGCGCGTCAAACTAGATTCCACTGCTAGCCACTATCCATCTTTGCTTATAATGCTTGTGAATTAAGGCTATGTCGAGGCAATATGCACAGTATGCACATATGCCGTTTAGAGACTGATCAGTTGCAGTCCTAAATATCAATGAGAAGATTCAAACAAATGTCAAATCATGTCAATAAGAATCTGGCAAATAGACATGAGATATTTACATTTGAAATTTTAGTTGCATAATAAGTCATATCAAAACATTCGTTAACTTTCTTTCAGTTGATCAATCATAAGCAATGCAGTATCATGAATAAGTTTTGTTAAAAAGAAATCGATTCAAGCTGTTATTATTCTTATCATTATGAGTATACCTGTCATCCAACTGTCAATTTGTTATTTGTTGTCATGGAGACCACCAACTCAATTTGTCTCGATTAGTTTAATAATTTTTTATAAATTCTTAGAAATATTTCTGTTTCTCAGAGTGAAGGCTTATGAAGATCACATTGAAAACAATAATGTTCGCTTATGTGTCGTTGTTTTAATCACAACTGTAATCAGTGAAGATAGATTAAATTGATAAAGCAGAGTTGATCTAATAAGAATCAATGGTTGTTGAAAATTGAAAGTGTTGGGGCGATCCTGGAAATTTCTCGCAATAGACATGACAAGTTTAGGAAACATTAAGAAGCATTTTATCCAATCAGCGTTTGATTAGAAGTTTTACTAGAAACATTGCGAAAATGAAAAATCAGATGTAGAGGTTCTGATTGACTGATTACTACACTGCTACTATGTTTAGTAGTATTCTAGAATTTTCAGGGGAACCCAAGGACTTCTAAAATACTATAAAAAAACCCTATATATTCACTGTACATAAATGAACCTTTGGAGTAAAGTGCTTCTCGTATATTTTGCGTCTTTTCTCTCGCGTTCAAGTCGCAGTGTAGTTCTAGCTTGGGGGTTACGAGACTAGCTTAGGATCCAAGTACAGCGTTCAATCAGCAAGACTTCTCAGAAAATAAAAAAAAAAATTAATACAAAAGTAATGAACGAAAATTATAACATATGGCTAGATTTTCTATTACTTACTTACGCCTGTTACTACTCATAGAGGAGCATAGACCTCCATTCAACTCTGTCCCGGGAAATCCTTCCCAGTTCTTTCCAGTTGATATTCATCCTATTCATGTATGCTTTCAATTACCGACGTAGTGTGTTCCTTGGCCTTCTTCTCTTTCGTTTCCCTTCAGGATTTTAAGTTAGGGCTTGCCTAATGACGCAGACTGATAATTTCCTAAATGTGTGTTCTATTCACTTCCAACATCTTTTCTTAATTTCCTCAGTTGGTTTGTTCTCCCCCACAGTAGGATGCTGCTGATGGCATTCGGCCAACGGACATTGAGTACCTTGCGTATACAATTGTTTGTAAACATTTGTACGTTTGTATTGAAGATTCTCACTTTGGTATAAGTTGACAGTTTTTTTGAGTCCCATATATTCTTCATCTGTTGGAATGCTGTCTTTGCTTTACCAAACTTACTCTTCATGTCTGCATCAGATCCTCCTTGTTCATCGATGATGCTCTCAAGCACGAGAGACATTCAACAATCTTCCAGAGTTTCGCCATCAAGTGTGATTGGGTTGGTGTTCTCCGTGTTGTATTTGAGAATCTCGCTTTTACCTTTGTGTCTGTTGCAGCCCACTAATGTGGTGGCTGTTGCTACACTAGTTGCCTTCATCTGCATTTGTTCGTGTGGGATAGGATAGGAGGGTCAGATCATCTGCAAAATCCGGGCTGTCCATTTTATTCCGTTCTTCCTCTCAGATGTAGAAGTCTTCATAATCTGATCGACCACCAGAAAAAGGAGAAAGTTGGAGAGTAGGCAGCATTGCCTGACCCCGGTCTTCACTTGGAATGCATCTGCCAGTTGTTCTCCATGTACTACTTTGCAGTGTAGTCCGTCGTATCAATTCTGGACGATGTCGACAATTTTCCAAAGTGATTGTCTTCCCTTCTTTGTACTTGACCGTTTTCTCAGGTTCACTATATTTCCATACCGGTTTATCCGTTATGTCATATAGTTGTCTCATATTTCCTTCTGTTTCAACCTTTTCCACTGTCGCTGATAGGTCTTCCACGTATTTCTGCTTGTCGCCCTAATGCTCCTTTTCACTTGCTTGTTTGCTTCTCTGTATTCAGCTTGTGCCTTGACTTATTCTGTTCTTGTTTTGACGTTGTAAACTTCTATCTTCTTGTTCTTCCTTTCTTGTATAGGGTTTCGATAGAGATCCATTCCTTATGATGATGTTTGTTGCAGTCAATAACGTTGAAGTTAGTGCTTTCTGGATCCCTTTCCAGTTGACCTCCATAGTAGTTTCTTCTTCTTTCAGTAAATCTTGTAAAGCTTGGAGCCTGTTGTTGAGAGTTAACTTGAAGTCGTTGAGTTTGTTAGTATCTGGAAGTCTATATTGAACCTTAGTAATGCCGTTTGTCCAGAAGTCCAATGCTTCTTTAGCTTCAGTTTCATCTTGGTCACAACCAGGTGGTGATCAAAAGCTATATCAGCTCCTCTCCTGGTTCTCATGTCTCCCATTGACCCCGTGAATTTTTTACTGATGCAAATATGGTCGATCTGGCTTTGTGAAGTGTGATCCAATGAAACCAAAGTAGCTTTGTGTATGCGTTTGAGGGAATATTGTGCTGCCTATAACCAACTTATTGAATGCACATAGATTTGCGGATATGTCATCATTCTCGTCCTTTTCTCCCAGTCAGTAGATGTCGTCCCATGATATCTTCATATCCGGTGCTATCCATTCCGAATTTGGCGTTTAAGTCTCCGATCACGATAGTTAGGTCCTTTCTTGGACACTTCTCTATGATCGATTGCAGCCTTAAGTAGAACTGATCTTTATTGTTATCATTGCTTTTCAGACCAGTGTACAGCAGCATCTCTGCCGTATCTAACCTTTGCTGTCCAGCTTGGGTCCGATGGATTTATCTGATTGCGAGAACCGCCAAGTTGTATCTTCTCATTTCCGTAGCTATTTGATCGGTCCCTCCGGTCTCCCACGTTGTCCGAACATTCCATATTAATTGTTGTTCTGGTTGTTAAAACAGGTATCAGTCTCGTGACTTCCAAAGAACCTCGGCTTTCGCCACGAGGCGTCATAATTCTTCTTTCAATCCTCAGGACAGAGTTTAAACGGTTTATATTGTTTACTCTGGTTAATGTATTTTTTAGCAAGGTTATTTTCTACAGGATGAGGTTGCTTACCCCACGCCCGACCCTCCTGCTTTGCCGGGGCTTGGGACCGGCAGTAGCCCTAGAAGAGCTGCAGGCAGAGTTTGAAGTTTCTATAAGTTACAAAAATCCACTTACTCATGAAGAGAAAAAGCTTAACAAATTGAAAGGTTACTTGATTATCAATATATACTTGGATTACTTTTACGTCACTAAGTGGTACTGATTTTATGGTTAACTTCATATCTTAGGTATGATCAGATGACTACTTGGTGAATTTATTTCAAATAGTTGTGATTTAGCCGTACGTGCAAAATAAACTATTTGAACACATTTGCCACGTTACCAGGGCAGATAGGGTGCTAGATGGAATTGAACTACCATTTATCGACAAAGGTACCTTGTATTGTACATTTGGCGTCATTTATTCACAATACTAGAAAACATAACATGTTGAATAAATCAGCTAGAAATAATAAGTCAAGTAATGTCAGAACAATTTGTCTGTAACATTTACACTATTTTACAGTCAATTTAGCTGAGATTAACAGCAAATGAGTCTTTTCGATATAGGTAAGATCATATGGCTTTTCTAATATGAAGTGAACATTTGATTATGCTAATTTTCAAGTTATTCAGTATTATTATAGTTGAAAGCGTGAGTTAATTGAAGCTAAACCATCAGGGAAAAACTGTAAGCACTGGACGGCCGTTTCGTCCTATTGTGGGGCTCCTCAGCAGTGCGCATCCACGATCTCGACTCGCGAGATTCGAACCTAGGACCTACCAGTCTCACGCCAGTATTAAACAATTAAACGTCTTAGTATTATCATAAAAAGAAAACAATCTATGGTCAGAAATGCCTATCAACGTCCTGGAATTATTCAAACATAAACCTCACAATTTAACATAAATGGTGTTACTATTTTGAGCACTATAAAACTACATACTCTAGTTCAATAACCAGAAAGTATATTACGATGTGGAAAATAGTATAAGTAAAATTACCACTGACTACAATTTAGAAGTTGTGTACAGACAAGTTAACGACAAAGGCTGACATTCAGATAATAAGCATAATAACAAATCAGAGAGAAAAGCTGTTTATGAACACTAATTATGTAGTTTACCTACTAGTAAATGCAGTGACATTTACTAGGATTGGAAAAAAACATTGTTGATAAGGAAATGTTATCCAGATACATAGAAAATAATGGAACAAGACAGTAAATCTTGTTATAATAATCTAGCTGTCTAATAACGAAAGGCATGACATTATTAGGTAGTTGAAATGAACAGAAAGTAGGTTATTACCATTTTCGTACACAAGTTCAACAAATTCTAAAGTATATCATCCCATAACCTACATAACATACATCGGCGAGACTATGATTTATGGACGACCTTTAGACGAATCTTAAGTGGCATTGAGAAACATTAGCCAATCAGTAAACAGTCAGTATAGAGTAAAAACATATTACACAAAACCAAAGAATTAAAGTGAATATACTTCTTTAATATGGTCCAAAAACTTTTCACCGTTCGAAAGAGGTTTAAAGGTTCTAAAATCGTAATGCCTAAGGTAGAGGAACTCATCCATATGGCTCCATAATAGCTGATCTCTGGAGCCATGATAAGGTGACAAAAACCCTCTCGGCCTTCACCACATAGCTTCAATATTGTTTGTGTACTCTGTTTGTGTATATTTATCATTTTTATTATTGATGTGCCCCTACAATACTCATACCACTGAACAGCCGAAATTCCAGTAACATCTGCGATTATTGCAGCCAATTTTACTGGTTCTTTTATTATACAGTTAGCGACAATTATTATAAATTGCCTTAATCTCAATTTGGATCGAGTGAAAAATTCCTATCCTAGCAAACTTTTTCCTTCAAATGATGTTACATCGAAGGACATCACGGTAGTCTGCACAAGGTCTGCAAGTCATTTGATATCCGCAGTTACAAATACAGGAACTTCTTAATGATCTCACTTATCGTAGCCGCTTAATTGTCAAGTCTTCTCTTAAATCCTCTGTGAACCGAACATACATGATCACCATGTACTGAAATTGGCGCCGTGACCTTGAAACCTCTCAGACTCTTCTGATTGACTCGTTCATAAATTATAGTCTCGCCCATACTACATCTTTAATACAATCAGTAGTTTACATAGAAAAACAAAACACTTCATTTTATATCTTACCACATGTGATCTTGGATATAATACTCCCATTTTACCAAATCTTACATAAAATGGTGTACTTTGATATTCTCCATCTTTATTTTTTACAACAATGACATCAATAGCACCAGTTAAATTAGCTACATTAATACTTTTATAATATTGATGAGCACTTGAAATTAAACGACCCAAATAATTCATTGAAATGAGTTAAACTTGAAAATCATATAAGACTAATATCACATTTTATAATCCGTTTAAGTAGTGTAATCATCTAAATGATGAATCTATCTATGTATCACGCCATCATAAAAATTATCAATCTACAATGATCAATAAATCAATTGTATCCAATCAGTGACAAGGTCATTTTGTGACATTCAAATTATCATATGGATTATAAACAAATCAATTAACCAATCATAATTAAGATTATATTGCCTGTCTTTTTTTTGTTTTGTTTTTTTTCTGAGTTAATTTTGTTCATCATTTTGTATGATTTTTTTTGGATGGAACGATTGTCTAGATTGTTCTTTTTTTTAGATATTGATAAATGTCATTTATTTACAAGACTTCATTTTGATATCACTTTCTGTCTATTAAGTTCAGATACAGTGAGACTACAATTTATGAACGAATCAATGAGATTTCAAGGAGCAGGTCTTGGATTTTTGCCTCGGAATTCATTTATCCATAATAGTTAAATAGTATTTATGTATTCTATCTGGTTTCAGTTAGTGAAGAAAAACCTACCTCTTATTTTGATTCTTAGTGTACTATAGCAACCATCCTACAATCAATTTCCATTATAGCTAATTTTGGTTAAGCCCTTTTTATAACTTACTTAACAGACATCATCATTTGGATAGTAACAATTTGCATATTATTTGAACTGCTATACCATTAGAACACATGACACTCTAGCCGAAATGTTGACTGCTTAAATATCATTCGATGACTCATACTCCTACCCATATATGTACGCACGCAAATATTATTATCAGTCTTTGTTTAGGTTTGATGTGCCCTTATTAAATTTGACTATAAATTGCCTATGTAATTGCTTGCTATTCGCTCGCTTGCTCCTCGTTCGTTTCCTTCGCTTGTTCGCCTGTTCACTCGCTCTCTCGCTTGCCGCTCACTAGCTCGTTCATATTCGCTCAGGTGTTGTTAGCTTTCTAACCTGAGTTAATCGACAATAAACTGTAGTTGCTGCTATCCTTTGTCTTCTGATTTTACGCACCGTTGATATTAGAATTATAACGGTTATCGAAGTAAACGATTAACGAATCACAGCACTACAGTCGAACTATAAATCATAGTCCTAATTGTTCGTAATAATTTATAACCCTCTTTTAACCTTAGTAAGTAGGTTAATAACCTCAAGGTCACTAATGTCTCCCAAAAGTCGTCAATAAATTCACCCAATGATACTGCGAATGCTTTTAGGTCACTTCACAGACACTTTTGTACTCTACGTTCGTCAAATTGAAATTAACTGATAATATAGTTAGGATAGTTTATGTACTACGAACATCAAGTAACTTAAATACAATGCCTTAGGTGATACTGTCCTATAAGTTACCGTATGTTTTCTCATGATAGGGTTACTAGTGTGGTGTGGGCTACTTATATCAACATAAGTAGTATATAACGATGGTCGTACATTGAATGTATTTCAGTGAAAGATCGATAAGGAAAGAACACAAATGAAGTGCGATCGGTATGAAAATGCATAAACATTAATAATCGGAGACGATGGGCTGATATTTGTAGAAGGAACAGTCATGATTGAGACAATTGTTTGATAGCTTGCAAATTAACTGCTTACTGTATGGTTAACAGATTTGAGTGAGATATTCTGTAATTTTTCATGTCCGATAAATTCGACTGTCCTCACTTGTCTTCTTGTTCACTACACTAGAACTCTTTAAAATTGTTACTTCTCCCTAAATATGAAGTGAGATTTGCTGTTTCACTTATTTAATGAATACGAAACAGATTTACTTAGAACTACATACAAACCTTATGGTCTCAATGAAACTCCGTCAAACGTGCAAGTTATCAGTTTAATTCATCAAAATAGGACAAGTAAGGTTTACAAATAAACTGCAATAAATATTATGACCTGACAACATTTGTTCATTTCCTTCGGGAGAACAAAAGTTAACTCTCAGTCGTCAGGGCGTATTGCCGCTTATATATATATTGCAATTCTCCTACAGATAATATAACATGATCCGTTAACACGTAACTAAACCTAATACTAATTGAAAAAACTGCTAGACATTCTCAATATTTCACATCAATATGACCGTTTTACTGGTGACTTTGTTTAGAAAGACAACAAAGTTCATAGACTTCAGCCCATCCTGAGGCATTAGTCTTTTCCACTACTTCAAAATGTTAACTAAATAAATTTTATCTACTGTATTTGTTGGAATTTGTTTAATTGAAACATGGTGTATATTTGCATACAAAAACGTTGAGTGATAGACCGTCGATTTACTGAATGCATAAAGCTTTATTTGTATCTGAGCATATTATTCAGAGGTGCTAAATATCTAAGACAAACCAATTGAAATTGATCGCATTTCATATAGTTGAAATTATGAGTCAATTGAAGCTAGACCACCATAGAAAACCTGGAAGCAATGGACGGCCAACTCGTCCTATTGTGGCACTCCTCAACAAAGCGTGTCCACGATCTCGCCTTGCGAGATTCCAACCCAGAACCTACCAGTCTGGCGCGTGATCTCTTAACCACTAGACCACTGAGCCAGCTGGCATTCAACGCTGTTAATGTCTAACTTCAACACATTCACAAAATTGAGCAACCATTCACCATTATCTTCAGTGAGTTGATATCTCACAACAGAATTTGTTGAACTCCACTGGTCACTGACTCATAATTTCAACTATATAAAATTACTAATATCCCTACAAAACTCCTTTCTGATAATATTGATCAAATTTCATTTACTAAAATATTCTACATTTAAATTTGTCAAATGAGCAAAGTAGAATTCAGAGCAAGGATACGTCGTTCTATAGTTAAAGGAAGTTACTAGGATAAAGTAACAATAATGGTTTTTAATCTTAAGACATATAATGTAATCAAAACAAAGTGAATTCGAGAAAACGAAATTATGAATAGGTCAGAATCATTATGATTGATGTCAAATTTATACAACATTACTTCACTATGTTAAAGAATAGGGTAACCTAAATGCCTGTAGCAAATCTCTTTTCATATGTATACTCGGTTTGTTTTAATCTTTGGACAGATAAATTGATCTAATTATTCTATTTGTTCTGACAGTCATGTACATGGCCTTGCCAATCACTCACATGTAACAATGAGCATGCTTATGCATGTGCATTCTAGTACGTATGTGTCTGTCTCTGCCATGGTTATAAAAGCTGAGTCAAACATTATGCACTAAATTAATACGTTTGCATCACCCACTCTGTATCTCTCATGATCTAACTATATAAGGGGGTGTCTTTAATGAATTATTCTAACTTAATTCGTACTTAGCTGTTTATTACTACTTTTGCCCAAACAGGATTAGTTCAGACAGAATCTACGAAATCAAACAGAGAATTCATGTTCGTGGCTCATTCATCATCCAGAATCATTCATTATAGAATCAGTTAGCAGTCCAGTTTCAAACACATCTATATTCAGTAGTCAATGGCTTGATGGGCTTATGTTATGTTTATATCTAGTCGTTGTTAGCCTTTTGGGAATCATCTCCTATGTTCTCCAGCAATGACTCTTGGCGTAGGAGACAAACATGCACACTAAAAACAATTACTAGCTATTTTAATCAATGTCAGTTCACGGTTTGCCAAACCGATTTGTCACTGTTGTTTAGTATTCTCCGATTGACTGAATCATTCCATAGTCAACAAAACTCACCATTCGTAAATAGTTTTGTTCATGCTGATCACGTGAACGGGTATAACTATAGTCATAAAAACTACCTGCAATATTTCTTCCGTGCACGTTTAGCTACTGACAAATTGGTAGTAGACCATCATACTAGAAAATATTGCAATCGTGTTGATAACTCATTTGAAAGAAAAATTGTACAATACTGTAGATCACCAACGTAGATGATTTCTGTCGAATGATTAGGGGCCTACTCAAGCTAGACGTGAATAGTGTGACGAACCAGCTAACTACGAAGTCACACCTCGCTGCCAGTATCTAACGTGGATTACACCAACGTATCAAAGTAGTAAGGCTGCTTTGAAGACTGCACAACACAAACGACTTTATTACATAAATACATTAGTTAAAGTAGATAAAAGTCAAAGTAAGACCACTGCTTCATGGGCCAATTCATGGCGTACGACTTGAAAGGGATCGATGATCTGTTCGATATTCAGTGACCTAACTGCCGGATGATTTGGCTAGGGCTCATTAACATTTCACTGCCCCTACAATAGAGTTTGAAGAAATTTTCCCAATCAGAGAGTAAGACTGTTAAACACTTTTGACTTAGAAACTTATTATAAATCCTGTTTACGCTATGGAGAAAAAAGAAAGAACAGATTATCAAATAATTTTCGGATATAAGAGTTCAACCAAATTTAAATTTATACTCGCATGTCTGGAAGCTGAGTGTATTCGTATTTATTAGAAAAGATAAGATCTATTTGTAGGTGACCTTGAAATAATTCGTCCACACACAAATGGCGGTTATAACTCTGATTCCGTGAATCATGGTAACAAGGGATTTAAAACAGTTTCATCAGATAAGTTTAAAAAATGCTATGGAACTGTAGTGTTTAAGGATTTGCACTGGTAAGTCATGAATGAGAAATTTCACGGTTACTAGCTTTAGTTTCACTTCCAGAAGTTTACAATTATTATATATGACATGTGGGCATTTGTCTTAAAAAGTCTTCTGGCAGTTATATGGAATCAAAGGAATAGCTATTATTTAAGTATTTATTTAAATATCTTTGAAGGGTATTCATAAACACGAAATGATCTTCATGACGGATTATTAGTAATATAGGAAAAATCTTGAGTATCTTTGGTCTCCGATGATTCTCCAATTATTTTTCATGTAGTAATGTTCAAGGCAATGATTTTTTTTTCGAAATTCATTCTTCTTAAGTCATTTATGTATTTTGCTACATACTACTTGTTTCATTGACTAGTAGTTAGAATTATAATTAAACTATTTCTATAACCTGGAGATCTGCAGTTATATTCCCCATTACTTTGTTGAAATTACTCACTTGCTTATAATTT